TGCAGACACAAGAAGGAGTTTCAGGGGAGAAAAAAAAAAAAAAAAAAAAAAAAAAAACAAACCAGAAAGCTGCACTGATTCTACTCCCACTGAATAAATAAATCTATGGCTACAGGGTTTTGTTGTTCTGTTTTTTAATTTCAAGCTAGGCAAAAGAAGACTTCTGCATTATTATTTTCACACTTCAGTGGAATTTTGTTTCTTTTTAAATCTCTTCCAGTAACTAATCCAAAACGCACAGCCAGGCAGTGACCATCTCTATTGCATTCACCCCATTCTGCACCCACATGTATCGGCATCGCTCCCGGACCATGGCACTGCGAGACGGCCGCTCGGAAAGCGATTACCAGACAGTGCGTCGGGAAAGGTTGACTCCATCTGCCAAAAAATGGGTTCCTACTTGCTAGCAAGTCTCACTTCTATTTTTATTTATTTTTTGAATGACATTTTTTCCTGAAAGAACCATTTCCCCATCATCGCCTCATGGCATCTGAAAGTTTCTGCCGTGGATAAAAGTCGGAGTTGGGAGCTCAGCCTGTGTTGCGTACGAGTTCATCACAGAAAAGGCGTGTTTTAATTTGCTGTTTGCGTCTTTTAACGAAGGTCAAAGAAGCGTATGTACTTTGACAGCGTTATAAAAACTTCAAAGAAAATCTAAATGCATTTAGCAATTTGCCGAGTTCCGTAATATTCCTAATAAAAATAAATAAATAAAATCAACCCAAATTTTCCAGTATGACGCACGCTGCATTTTATGTTTAAACTCAGACGCAATTTAAAGAGACCAACAGTCTCAGAAGAAGGGAGGAACCGGGGCTTAAAAAGAAACAAACAAGCAACTAACCAGGATTGTCATATATCGTCATGTGGACGCTGGGTAAAAGTCATGATGACAGCTTATTTGTGAGTGAGTTACCTAACAGCACAATCCAAAAAAAAGAAAAGGCACCAAATTTAACCAGGAGATCCGCAGTGACTTACATAAAATTTGAATCAGACTATAGATGTGAATGTGCTTCTCTTTCACAAGCGAGAAATTACCTAATCGTTATACCTGATAGCACCCACTGAACAAGAATAAAGGAGCTTTTAAACAGAAGCCAACAGTCATCTCTTTTATATTATCGTTACCTTACCCACATTAACTACCGGTCACATTTATAAACCACAAAGTTACAGAAGGGAAAATATGAAGAGGAATCGAGAGCTCATCTCCCAAGAAATAATAATAATAAATAAAAGCGCAACTACCACAAACTTTCTAGCACCCTATTCCCTTTTCTCCAATACTTTGGCAAGCAAAAATGTCCCGCAGCACTATTTCTGTCCCAAATTGTTGAATTTTGAGGCAGCTCATACAAGAAATTCCCCACAAAGCTGGCACCAACCAGGCTTGCAAACCAAGCGGTGCGCAGAAAAGTGCGAGAGCAGAAAGTAATTAAGGTCCTGCTCTTCCCCTCCCTACGCAATGCACCGAAAATGAAATCAACCTCCAATCTAATTAGTTTTCAGCAGAATATCAGTTTACTCTCTACCGGGAGGGTTGTCGCTGCTCTTACCAAAAACTCCCAAACATACCACACGAGTCTTGCTTAAGCCACAGGCCCAAGCCCGGCACGTCCCAGCATTACCGTGTATGGTAACCGAAGCGAATACGATGGCAACTTGACAGATTTGGAACAAATACTGCGTTGCGTGTCACCGAGATAACACAAGCAGGAAAATATCAGATTGTATTACCTGTATCCGACCGGAGGTGTGGACTGGTCGGAGCTACATTGCTGCAGGACGCAGTCATGAAAGGTTAGTGACCCAAGATGGCATTCGTCCCCGCGGAGAGGGGCCAAGGCAGGACGCTGAGGACTTTTGTGCCCCGTATAGGGCTGTCCAGAGAGAAGAGGAATGGAGTGACACGAGGGACGAGCCACCGGACCTGCATCATTGTCCCAGGTTGAGGGCTGACGCTACCCGCAGCGGCTGGCAGGAAGGCCCGAAGCTGCCGCCCGGCGCCCGGCTGCCAGCCAGAAGGTATATTCCCCCTCAGAGAGCCACAGCACGCAGGTTTTGGCCTCAAAGAGTGGATTTTGTGCCCGTATAAGCTCTCGTGTTCACCCACAAGGGAAAGAGGGAGGTTGGATGTTTACCAAAATAGCCCCCGAGGAACGCTAATTTGGTACAGGCTCCCTCCAGGAGATCCTTAGCCTGGATTAAGAGTGGTCACTGGGGAATTTATTCCAGATTAACTATTCTGGAAGGGTTAGTCCAGTGTATTTGCAGGTGTAGACGAGCCCCTAGCCAAAGTCTTTAAATTTCAGCCCCTGAAAATGTAGGTACAGACTTTGCCAGAGCTACCGCGTCCTTCATCCTTGCAGACAGAGCAAGTTCTGCACCTGCACCTCTGAAATCAGCCCTGCTCTCTGCTCTGCGTAGATACTTCGAATATTTTGCCACTTTCTTAACAGTTTATCTTGGTTTCCTAAGAAATACCCCTTCCTGCATTGCTTTGTACCCCAGCAATGGGATGCACTGGGTCACAGGCGTACAAGAAGGGACAGTGCCAGTAGGCACCGCTCCGAACCTGGAGGAAAGTGGTGGCGTTGGCCCAATCAGGCTCCAATACGGGGCCCTTCGCCTTACAAGGCATCCCCTAAATAAAGATATAAAAATACTACAACGTAACATTTAATGAAAGATTGCAGCTGAGCACTCAACTGTCAGGAAATAGCAAGGCTGGAGCGCGTGGGCAACTTAACTCTGCCCCCTTGTGCAAATGCACTTCGGTACAGCCCTTCCCCGACACCAGCCGTCTCCAAACAAATGTCCTAATTCCAGCAAAAGCACATTTTGCCTATTAAAAGTAAAAAAGAAGGGCCAATGCTTTCACACTGAGCCTTCTCAGACACCTTCCTGGCTCGACTGCGAGCCAGCACCTATTTAGCTCAACGACACAGCTCAGGAGATGTTGGCACACTTCGGCCACACACGCACAATTTGCAATCGGGATAGAGATATTAAACGCTCTTTGGCCAAAACAAAGAGCTCTTCTTCCTCCAGGGAAAAACCTCATGACCTCAGGCTGAGATGTGACCAAAAGACCGTCCACAAAACCCAAAACAGGTAGCGTGTACACATCTCCAGCAGCAAACCCACAGCATGATACGTCCGGAAAAAATCCACAGGCATGTTAACAACCAGGAACTTTTTTTTATTTTTATTTTTTTATGAGAATCTGAATTTATCCCAATGTAAACACCTAATAATCAGTGACACTCAGCAGCCCAAAATAAGGCTGCAGTGTGCCAGAGAGTGTCCCACCTCTGCTCACGTACGAGTTTGATCTTTCATCTATGTCCACCGCTACCAAAAATACTCTCGATATTAAAGAGGCACGCAGCAGGACTTTAACATTAGGGTTGTGTCTTTCTTTTTACCACAATTACACCTTTTTCTTTCTCTTCCTCTCGGTATCGGCAAGTGAGTGAATGACAGTTTTCAAGGGTTTGGCCCTGGCTTTTAAACTCTATTTCATTTTAAATAACCAGGACCATCTCTCCATCCACTTGCAGGATGGATTTTTATAGCTCTGAAAAGAGAGAGTTCAGTTAACCCAATCACTAATGTGATCCTGTTAAAGTTACCTTAAAAAACCCTTTATATAGGAAAAACAATGATGTTCTGCAATTAACGCTGTTAATTTTCTGGCGCTTCATCACAGAACAGCAGCCCACAGTCAATCACATTGCATTTTCCAGAGGCAATAAAAGAATACGAGCAAGACAAGTGCAAACAACATTTAAACAGGGGCTGCCAGGAAAGCAGCCGACACTCCGCTCAGAGCAGAGACAAAAATCTTTTTGTCTTCTCCTGCCCACTTCAGATTTTTTCCGGAACTCCACCAACTTCTCAGGTCTATTGCAACAACCTACATCCATGAGGTCCTCTTAATTCACACACCGTTGCCTACAACTTAAACTGAGTCTCCATTGTAAACCTGGCCTGGAATTCGGGCTCGCAGGAGTTTATGCCTATATACTGTTTTCTTTTTCATTCAGCTTCCAGCCGAATCATTTTATAGTGCTTCTGCCTCCATAAAATATTTGCTTGGGAGCCAATGCCAAGATGGAAAAAAAAGCAACGCGCTAACCAAGCCTTGGGTTTTTAGAGTAACGCTGCTCCCCCTCTCACTCCCTGCTTTTATTTTTGGCAAGTTGCAGCCCCAAACGAAGGGCAAGTTTAAATCTTTTAATTCGCAGCCCCGTGGCGCTGCGTGATTTAAAGGTCTTTCAACGATCCAGGCAACCCCGATACTCTTGGGAATTGCAGCTGGAGCGATCTGCATCCTAAAGCCATACACCCATTCTGCTGGAACAATGCAGCCTCTCCTTTGTGACCAGAGCCGGGCTGGCTGGGAGCGTGGTTTCTCATTCAGGCTTTCCAGGGACAGCACCCACCAAGGGACGGGGCAGGAGAAAGCAGAGGAAAACCCAGCGCTCCCCCTGCCCCAACCCTGGAGCTTGGGTTAAAGCACCTTCCTGCAAAGAAATGTCTTTTTTGCCCCCACCGCTCCCAGGTCAATGCATTTTGCTGTGCCGCTGGTGGGGTAACCTGTTTATTGAAACCTGATCGACTGCTGGAGCCCCAGCGTTAAAATATGCTCTCGCTGTTGGGAACTGTCATTTGTCTGTCACCGAGGAGGTTAATGGACGTGTTTGTTTAGTTTGCTAGTGGGAATATACAGGGCAGAGGCTGGCGGGATTACAGGAGGGGAGAGGTATTTCTGATCCACGGAGGAATGCAGTTGCTTTTCTTTAAAATCGTCCGTGTACTTCTTATAGGCGCACGAGAAAAAACCCTGCGAGTCCACCTGTGCTTGCGAGACCTCCTACAAACCCCGTGCTCCATCCACAGCCCCGAACCCCGCAGGTACGGAGACCTGCACGTGGGCAGAGGACGAGCCCCGGTGGCAGCGACACCGACGGGGGTCCCCACGGTTCCCTTACCTCTGGCCGAGTCCGAAAACGCAATTATCCCCGCAAACAGGAGCGCAAGCTGCAAGTCCATGGTGAATGCCAGACCCCTCCGGGTCCTGCGGGATACCGTCCTCTCAGACCTGGAGGCAGGGGAAGGAAAGCGAAATAATTACGTGTTGGGAGGGGGAAACAAACCAACAGCCCGCGACTTCGCAGACTTTTAAAGCCTGTTGCAGAGGCGCGAGGGCAGGAGCAGCGAATGAAACAGCGGCCGTACTTGTAATTCATTCCTCAGCGGTCGGCGAGCAAAACTTTGCCCTCCTCTCTGCTCCAACCCGATATAAATCAAGAACCCACCGCGGCCAGCACGCTACTCTAAGCTCACAGTTAGGGCATAACTCGCTGATATCCCACACGGAGCCAGTCCGGAAAGCAAACAAAACGCTAGCGAGTGGCCATAAAACACGATTCCAGGTTGCCAGTTTGCGGAGGAGCCCGGGCGGAGGGGAGGAGGAACCCTTCCTTGCCCACCGGCACCCAGCAAACTTCGTGCGGCCGCCTCGGAGCTCTCAGCCCTGCTCCGTGCACCCCACAACTTCTCACATCAGCTCTCCTCGTCCCTCTCCTCCTTTTTCTCTTCCCCCCCAAAAAGCCAAGCCAAGCCCCGCTGCTTTCCCTGCCCGCCAGAGGTGCGTCCCACAGCAAAACCGCATTAAATTATCCGGATTCTTGAAGATGCCTTCGCGGCCAGACGCGCAAGCGGGGTAGCTCAGGTTTAGGGTAATTACCCCCTCGCAGTGTCCCCCCCCTAATCAAACTCTCACTCTCTAAACACTGCCTGAATTCCTCCCCCTTGTAAAGCCCCCGCTGGGAACACCCTGTGCCCCCAGGGGACACGCAACCCGCTCAGCATCCACCAAAGCTCCCTCACCACCAGGTTTGGGGTCACCGTGGCACACGGGGGGGGCACACACACACAAATACACACCCCAAGAAAGGGGCTCCCCCTTTTTCCAGGAGGAGGGGGGCTCAGCTTTAAGCCATCCCCCAGCCGGGATTTACTACGGGGACGCGGCGGGGGATCGCGGGATGGGGTGGGGGCGATGGCACCAGGTGTGACATGGGTTGTAAGTGGGTTGGGGGGTCCGGGTGTGTGTGGGGGGGACAATTAAGGACTTACCTCGGCTGCCTGCGGGGCTCTAGCACCGAGCAATGCCGCCCATCCCCGTCGCTTCATGCTCTCCGCGGCCACGGCGCCCGGCGGGGCGCTCCGCCGCCGGCTTCTACCTCATCTCCAAACCCCCCCCCGGCCCCAAAACCGCAGGGGCTGCCTTCGGGGGGGGGGAAAGGGGGAGAAGAAGAGGGTGTCCCCGGTCCCACAGAGCTGGAGGGGGGCTCCTCCGAAATCCCCGCAGCCCCCCCGGGGGGGGTTTGCCAGCGGGGAGCCACCGGCGAGGAGCGAAGGGGAAAGGGGAGGTGGGGTGGGAAGGAAAGGGGGTGATGAAGAAAGGGGGGGTCGTAACGCTGCTTGCTTCCCTGGGGGGGGGCTGCGAGTGGGGAGGGGGGCAGCGGGACCTGCCAGGGATGCCCGGGGATGCCGTCCCGCGGCCCTCCGAGCCGGAATCCCGTTTAAAGAGCCGGGAGGGGGAAAGGGTTAGAGGGAGGGGGGAGGAAGAGGAGGAGGAGAGAAGGAGGAGGAGGAGGAGGGTGGTTAGGGGCCGGGGGGGGGGGAGGTGGCGGAGAGCAAGGAGCCGGGCTCGGGAGCAACTTTCCCTGCAGGGCTTTGTGGCGGTGGGGGCCGAGCCGCCGCGGAGGGCGGTGCGGGGCCGCCCCGCTCCAAACTTCGCACCAATCCCGGGCAGCCCCCGCCCTCCCCGCCGAGCCGCCGCTCCCCTTAACCCTTTTGCGGCGGATGGGCCCCCCCCGGACCCCCTCGGACCCCCCCCGGGTCCCCTCATACCCCCCTCATACCCCCCGCTATACCTCCCACCACCCTTTCTCCCCCGCCGCACAACCCCCCCCTTTCACCGCGCACCCCACAAAGTGTCCCCCCCCCAGCCCCACAAAAACGCCTTCCCCTTAGGAAACCCCCCTGGGGACAAGCTGAGCCCCCCCACAGCCCCCTCGGGGTTTGGGGACATGGGGACGAGGACACGGCATGTCCCAGGGGGGTGACATCCCAAGGGTGGTGGGGGACATCCCACCCTGGCAGCAGGCGTGCAGCCCCCCTGGGAATGAACCGAAGCTAAACTTGAAGCAATCCGGCTCGAAAATGAAACTGCTGGGGAGTCTTCTCCTTGGGTTAGCCGCTGAAATTATTTATTTTCTACTTTCATACGGCTCAGCTGATGCGTCCCCGCTCATAATCGCTCTCCGCATGGGATAAAACTCAACCCGGCAGAGCTACCAAAGAGACTAAACAAATGCCAAGAGGAAAAAAAAAAAAAAAAAAGCTGCCTGAATAGCTCCAGTATGTGGAGAGAAACATTGCTGATGTCTTTTATTGGTTCTCCTATTTGATAAGCTCTTATTTCTCTTATTTGATAAGCTCCAGCGTGAAGGCCTCCATGAAAATTAAGGGGTCGCAATGCTCAGTACTGGGGAGAACCCCGACACCCAGGCCAAGAAGCAGCTTCCACGTCCACTTTATCTATTTTGTGAGGATTATGAAAGCACACCCTCTGTTATTATTGTTACTGAATGCTTTTACTCAGCAATTCCTGAGGACATGAAATCTGGCTACAACATATCCAAGTGAAAAACATTTAAGACTAAACATATAAACCCCCCACATCCAGAAACAAACAAAGCAGCTGACAATATCTTTTCTATATATATATATTCTACATATTTTTATCATCATTTTTATTATTAAAGTTCATTAATTTGAGAAATCCCAGATGGGCTACTCCTCCTATCAGGCAATAACTTCAGCCTTGTTGACTTCAAAGATGGTGTTGACTGAGTCAAACCTTCAGGACCCGACCTACGTGACTGCATTCATGCCATGGACCCTGATAAAGTTGCTTCAAGCTGCACCAGGATGAGAGCTACATCTCAAGGAATGATGTGTAAAACATTTCTTTGTGGTGTTTCCTAGTAATTTCACCACAAAGGAGTCAAGGTTTTTGTCCCAAGGACATCGCCATCTAATATATGGTCCCAAAACTGTTTACACAACCTTCTGTTCCCATGCAGAGTGAAACCCAAAGCAGCCCCAGTTTGGGCTCAGAGGATAAATAACCTCTGATGGGCTCTGTTCCTTCCATGCTTGCTTCTTTACTGAAAAATCTCATGTGTGCCTTTGTGGGCTCCAGCACCTCCCAGTCTGTGGGTGTTTCTCCTCCCAGTGCATCGATAAAAGCAGCAAAATGCCTCCTGCAGCCTTGCCCCACTGGGAAGTTCTGGGCGATGGAGCATTACAGAGGCAGCCCACAAGATTTTCTAAAGCATCCAGGTGCCTAAACGCCTTCAGCTTTCCCTTAGGCCTCTGTCTTCGGGCACCCTGAAACTTTCCAATAATTTGACTCCACGTGATATTGTAAAAGGATTGAGCAGAGAGGCGGGGAATGGAGCCCACAGCTTCCAAACCCCACGCTAAAATAAGCAGAGAAGCACCCCTCCTGACTCCCAAATGTCTGCACAGTCTTTACATTTTTGCTCAGGACTTTGGGAGCCCCCAAAAGGCAGCCTGAAACCAGGCCATAGACTTCATCCATCTTGTTCACCGTACAGCAGCGCGGAAAGAAATGTAAAACATTGATACAACAAAAATAATTAATATTCCTGCAGCAGCTCCTAGTTTATCAGAAACAAAATCTCATGCTGTTTTCCCAACACTTCTACCTAAATAAGGAAACATGCCGAGCCGTGTTTTTCTGGGCTGGCTGTAATTTGCAGGATGATTGAGTAGTCTGCAAGTCAACAGCCCCGGTTTGCTCCTGCACCCCACAGTCCTGAGACAAGGCTGTGGGAAAACAGCTTTCTGGAGCTGGCAAACAAACCCAAATGCTAAGCAACCAAGAACGTGTCTCCACGTGGCCTGAGAAGTAGCCTAACAGCCCATTTGTATCCCGGTTGTCCCCAAAGCCCCTTTTGAAGAGCATGGCTTTCCAGATTTCGCCTCGCTGTGATGGTCTGGTGAACGTGCATCCCCATAACGACTTCCCTCATCTCTCCAAAAACACAGCTTGGCCTTTTTCCAGCTTTCTTACCTCTTTTCTCCTAGGAGCTGCTCACCTCCATCATCACAGAGCTCCATTTTTTTGGAGCTCTGTGATTTTTCCCCCATTCTCTCCCTTCTATCTCAGCAGTTTTGCCTCTTCTTTTCCCTTACAAATAATTTGGGAGACCCTCCGGGCTGCAATTCCTCACCTGCTGTTCCTGGATCCCTTCACACTGCAGGACAGGTCGATGAAATGGGCCGGGGCCACCGACACCACCGGGGCTGGCACCGATGCCTTGCTGGAGCACGAGGCCCCGTGGCACGGGTCCATGGGGCAGCCGGGCGCAGCTGACGAGCACGTGAAGGTGAGGGAAGGGCACGGCTGGGGTTAGGCACATTCCCCGTTCACGCAGCCCTCCTCGGGTTACGGGTGGGAATAGCCACACGGGGCCATGCCCCGAGGGCAGCCCAGCTTTGGGGATGGTGGAAAAGGTGAGTAATGGGGTTAGCGGGGTGGATTTCCCCCATGGATCACTTCCAATGGGACGCTCGGTGTGTGACACGGCAGCAGCTCTGGAAACATCCCAGCTGGGTGGGCAAAGAGCACAATGCACCCGTTTCCATCTGCACGGAGGAACAAGGTACCACCTCATGTGGGTTAAGGACTTCACAGCTATGAAGCTGCTTTAGCCAGAGGGTTGTGGAGATCGCCCCAAAATGATGATCCTTCTACTTGGCAGCTCAGATGGGACCCTTCAGGCCCCAGGCACTCGGATGGGTTTTGTCAGAGCCACTGTGCTGACACATTCAAGTCTATAGATAAATCTGAAAAGGTAGTTTGTGAGGAAGGCAATATTTTATGAGAGCCATCAAGATCTGCCCTACCTGTGGTGACTTATGTCTAGCTGCAAGGTAGGTAATATGCAGAGAGGGAGTACGCACAGATGGAAAGATGGACAGGATGATATGGCCCTGAAATCTGTATTTTTCCCTTAATAAAAAATGCCACTTCTCTCCACATACACACTTATTTCCTTAAAGTATCCTTTATTCTAAGCAGCATTTCAAAGAAACTAAATGGCCCATCATATCAATAAAATTCATGGTTATACATGAGACATGAATGCCATGCTCAGGCAGAGAAGAAAAGATGATGAAATGAGGGCTCAAGGTCCCGTTACCAAATGCTGGGTCCTGCACAGGATGCTCGGAGGACCCACGGACCCAGTGCCCTCACATCAAGGCTTCCAAGGATTTCTGGAGGTGTGGGGATTGCTTTGTTCCCGTGGTATGGATGGATTGCCAGGCTGGTGGAAAGACACGGACATCTGAGCAGGCACATGGGGAGGGGAAAGCATTTCTTTGGGGTGCTTTGAAGGAGCCCGGTGCAGTAAAAATATTTCATCAGCCCACCTCCTTCTGCTCCCTTGGTGTTTTTCACCCTCTGAGATGGGTTTGGCAGTGTATGACTGCCATTGTTGCCTCTGACACAAATTGAAGGACGGAGAAGGGCCACCCAGCACCTTACTTTGGGTCTCCAAGAGAGTTTGTAGCTTCAGGGTGAACAAAAGATATTACCTCCCCCAACAAAATGTGCTCGCCTTCCTGCTAATGTCTGCACCACCACCATTCCCACAGCAGGAAAACCACATCCGACGGGCTCTGTGCCCCAGTTCCCCGCTCCCAGAAGGTGCTCAGACATTCAGATGGGGAATCTGGTATTAAAAGCTCAGGGCAGATCACATTGCCATTCTTCTGAAAGAGCTCTGCTCCTTCTGCTTTCTTCCAATGGATCTCATTCTTCTTTCTCACATCCTTTCGCATCACCTTAAGCAATTTATTTTATGCTCGGTACTTTTTCCACTCTTAAACGTTTCCTTATTCAGCGTTTGGTAGAACTACAAGTAGTTAAAGTTTCCAAATGTTCTCCATAAACACATCCTTCCTCAGGCCCCTTATCCTTTATATCACTCAGCACGGGTTTCTTGGAGTCAGCCTGACACTGATGTATGAAGGATTTGATTTTGCTTTCCTTTTACATCTGGTTAATACAAGAGTAATCCCACTGGAGCCATTGGAGTTGTTGTAAGTGAGAAAAAAAAAAACTGATCAAGCCAACAGGCTCATCTGTGCAGCAACTACGCCGTCCAGGTAGTCTGAGCTGAAGGCTCTGAATATACATCACCAGATATCTCATCTGAGAAGGTGAGCACAGTTTTGAAGGCCTAAATCTCCTCTCACTGCTCCTTCACATTCTCCTCCCGTGCGAGAACTCTGTCTACGTGCATCGATGCTGGGTTCGGGTCCTCCAGATGTAGCAAACATGAAAGGGGAGGTGCAAAAAATAACCAGAAATAAATTTTACAGAAGCCCTGAGATGAACAGACAGAGAGAAAAACAGAAATGTCAAGTATTAATTGCTGCACAGACATGAGGAATGTTAAGGGAAACTGTTTGGGGATTTATGTTCAAAAAAAAAAAAAAAAAAAAGACAGCTTCCCAAACTATTTCCTTTCAAATCTCTCAGCGTTTTCCATAAATTCCATGTGCATGTGTGGCACTCTCTGATAACATACAAATCTGAACGCATAAACTGTTTTGAAATGTTTGTACAATTTCATCCAAAAATATGACTGCATGTTTGTGCTTTAATTGTCAGCAATAGGATATTAGGCAACAGCCACATGCATCGTGTCAGGGGCACTGGGTAAGGTTAGGTGGTACGAGCTCAGCCTGCCCCTTTCTGGCCATGTCTCCGCAATGGGGAGAAACCCCAAATTATTGGGAAAAATAACCTGTAGTGAAGTGGGCTGCAAGTGACAGCACACTCAGTGGCAGGAGTGTGCAGAGAAATCCACTAAAATCAGTAAAGATATTTCAGATTCATACAGGTGTAACTGGGATCAGAAACCTGATGATTCTCCAGGACAGACATTGTATTTTTTTGCCACTCTTTGCAAAAAAAAAAAAATAAAGCCTTAGCGGAGGGATGGACACTGTGCTTCAATCGGTGTTGTTTGAAATGTCTTTCATTTATTAACATTCTTGCTGAAGCTGAACATTAGTTCCACTTTATCAGGAATATAATGCAGCTGCATTTTCTGGACGGGAGCACCACCAGAAATATGTTAACTATATAGTCAACAGCTATGCCTTGTTTACTCTTATGCGTAAAGCCATACGGAAACAATCCTCCCAGGAAATCTTTATTTTTTCTCTCTCTCCTTTTATGTATGTAAATAAAAATAACAGGAGAAGCTGGCCTGGGATGCTGGCTGAGAGTCGGGTGGCAGGAGCTTGCTTTTGCTCAGGGTTTGTTGAGAAACTCTCTGATTCCCCCAGGGGCAGACTGGGCTGCTCTGGTACAGCAGAGGGAAGGTGCATCAGTCCCCATTCATCCCTCGGTGCCTTCACCCTAGGATGTTCCTCCCGAAGACCCAGCAAACACACCGTGATGGCTCAGCCCTGGTGTTCCCTCCTGGGGGATCTGCTGGCTCAGAGATGGGTCCCCGTGGGCACAGGGCTTGGAGACCACAATGAGGAGGGCAGCTCCAGAATGGGTTTCCGTGAGCTCACGGGGGAAGTCTTGGACCTTCAGCTGCTCAGATGTTCACCCTGTTTTGGTGCTGTGCTCATTGCTTCATCCAGCAGTGCTGGGTTGGAGAGCCACAGGTGGAGATTCACAGGAGGACAAATCCTGATGGACCCGGGGAGCGCTGCCTGCTTGCCCACAGCCTGAAGGAGACAGCTGCAAAATCCACAGCAGCGTGACAAGCTGTAGGCAACAAGGCAGAGCCTCCATCCTGCCCTCCCCAGGCACAGGCAGGGTTAAATATTAACCCCAGGGCTGGGAGACAACCCCTTCAGCCCCCACCGCCATCCCCACGTAAAGGGAAGAGCAGAGAGCACACTAAGGAGCCCTGGAAATATGTAAGGAGCTGCCAGGATCTGCTGCCAAACACTTTTATCTTTAGACAAAGATAAATCTGTTGCTTACTTAACCCAGCCTTTACGAAACTCGCAGCTCTGGGTTTCCAAAATAACAGGAGCAGAGTGGAGCTGGCTGGTGTCCTGGTGAGCAGCAGATGCACACAGGGCAGTGAAAAGGTGACAACGGGTCTCACCAGAGAAATGGCTGGAGAGTAAATCATTTGTCAGGGAAATTAATAAGGATTTAACCTCCGCGGGCTGGAGAACTTACCTGCTCTTGTCCCTGCAAAGTGCAGGTGTCTGTATTCTTAAGAGAGCAATTAGGATGTATGGTTAATAATGAAGAACAAAAAAGCTGCTGCTTGCAGCGTGCAATCCCAAAAGAGCAGAAATGTGCCGTGAGTGTGTACCAGGGTGGCCCCAAGGTCATGAGGAAGATGACAGCGATGCTCACCAAACTGCCACCGTTTTATTATCACCAAATAAAAGATGCTCCCCATTTTTTATTTTATTTGAAACAGGCTTTTATTCACAGTTTGCACTATGGTGGGGTCCAACAGAGAAATGAATGGCACCCGTGGGGTTTTGGTGTCAAGCTGCGAGGTGAGGGTGTGAGTTTGGGACCTGTCTTGTCCCTCATGTTCAGGTCAATCACTTGTTTTTTTTGGGGGGAGTGTTTTTTTTTGGGAGGGAGTGTTTTTTTTGGGGGGGAAGTGGTGCTGCAAAAACATTGCAAGTATGGATTGGTAACAGCAGCTCCCTATTTAGCTATAAAACTCACTATTCACAGTAAATTCCCTTTTTTATTCTTAATGCTAGAGTTATTATCTGGCAAGAATATAGCCCCTTCCTCTGCCACCCGTGACCCAGGCTGAACCTGTTTGCCCATGTTATTGTGCTGGTGTAATTCAGTGGAAAAGAGATTGGATTAAACAGGCAGCTCCGGAGGAGTAAATAAAAGGAACATGCTTTAAAGAGTAAATAGACAAGCCCGGGTAGAATAGAATAACTCCTGGCGGTGCTAAATCAAAGGGAAAATAATGCCCTCACTAAAATCTGAACAGGGTTTGTAAGGAAGGGCAGCCCACAAAACTGGATGATCCGTGCATGTGCAGACCCCTTCCAAAGAGAAGTGCGGGGACAGCCGGGTTAGCTCCCGGTAAATCCTCAGCGAGTCCAGCCCAAATCTGTTTAGCAGCAGAAATCCTTTTTTTCTCCTCACTGCCAGCCCTGCAGTTCAGCCTGGGCTGGCGGGTCGAGTCCTCGGCTTCACCTCCCTTTCGCCTTTGATGCTGCTCCAGCGAAGTCGAGAGCGTGTCTGAAGGCAGCAGTGGGATTTCGCTAGCACGGGGGATCCTCCAGGAGCAGCCAGCAGCTCTCCCTGGCCAGCAGCACCACGTCCCGGGGCAGGAGAGGGCTGGGAAGGTCTGACGCTTTCTGGCAGCCTCAGCACGCGGATCCCCGCTTTGGGAATGCTTCCCCAATGGCATCAGTCAGCCCAGCTGTAAAGGCAATTGATCCGTCTTGCTCCATGGGCTCTTTTACCCCTAGCAAAAAGCTGTGATGTGGAGCTCACAGCGATCCCGTCCCACTCTCGGGTGCTCTGCACCCCTCCAGAGAAGGGAGGCACTCTCCTCTCCAGAACCACAGTGAGAAAAAAAGCTTTTGGCAAGCCCAGGGGCTGATCCCAGTTCTGTCCGTACCTGTGTAACCCAAGCAGGGCCCCAGTCCGTCTCCATCCTTCTGCTGCGTTGGCCTGCAGAGCTAATAGGGGAAAAAAAAATTAATACCAACTCTCAACCGAATATATGAGCAGCAAACCTCCGGGTGGGGTAAAGCGTATGTGGAGTCACTTTTCGGAGCTGGCATCCTCCTTTTCACACAATGGCATTAGGTAAAGCACACTGTGAATGACTCTGGGACATTTGTTTCCCATCAGCTGCAGAGGAAATCCCCTGCGCTTGCAAGGTGAGAGTCCTTCCCATGGGAAAGCAGGACGGTAAGTCTGGAAGCTGAAAACCAAGTTCTCTGCCTCATTTCTGCAGAGATTCTCGTGTCAGAGCTGAAAAGATGAATTGTGGCAATGTGTAAGAGAGCTCAGCTTGCCCATTGGGGATACATTACCTCTCCTCTGCTAGCAAGGGGATGGGAATCATCATTTCAGTTGAAAACAGAAATACAAGTGTACAAAGACTAAATATAAAAGGTTTTATATGAACATTTTCCTAACCATAATCCAAATGTCTTCTCCCTAAATCACTTGCTAATAAGGAAAGGATATGAACATGTGAACATTTTGGGATCCTGGATTCAATGAGATGCACAGATCACAGACACAACCATCCCTGCTTCAGCCTAGCACATGATGCGAATAAATGGAGAGCAGAAACTATACATATTGTAAAGTTATACAGTGCAAAAGAATTCTTCAAGGAATACCACATCCTGAGTCTTACACAAGGAAATCCAGACCAGGCATTGTGGAAAAAATTAATACATTTCAGTGTCAGGCAGAATTATGAGGCTGATCAAGCTGAATAATCCAAGGTGCATAATCTCCGGGGTATTTTCCTACAAAGTGGAGTAAGTGTGAGCCTGTCACGCAATCCAGCACCAAGGAGCAGGACTTGGCTTACAGACACAGAAGTCACCTGCAAGAAAAGTTCTCTGGGGCTTCGCTTCAGAAGAGAGACAAAAGCAAAAAGAGAATTAAAGCCGCAGCTCAGCTCTTCCAAGTCACTGACCACGATGCCTGGTGGGGAGATCCATGCTGGTTAGTGCACTGGGTGCGCAGCTCTCTGAATCCCCATGCAAAGCCACGGGAGCACCCTGCTTTCACCAGCCTTCACCCCCTCAAAGGCAACCAGTCCCAGAGTCTCTCTGTGTTTACTTCTGGGCAAGATTTTGTCCCAAAGCATGTTTTCCTGGCAAAGACGCAGGTCATGCTCATGTTGATGCCATTCCCAAGATACACAACAAGCTGTGCCTTCTGAGCAGTGCTTCAGGAGGGACTTCAAGTTGGGCTGTGAGGGATTTGAGTGCAGGAAGTAGGTCTGCATGGCTTGAAAGCCAGGAGGGCAGAAAAGAGCAGCATCCTCCTGCAGAAACACAAAGCTTGGGCCATGAAAAATGGCTTGTCAAGGGAATGTGGAACAGGAGGGCATTTGAGCTTGTGTCTGTGGGTAGAAAATAAGAAGATCCTTCTTCCTTAATCAGAAAAACTTGGTTGCTAGCATCTATGTGCTTGTATAATTACTTTGACTAAACAGATTCATGCTTTACTGAAGACAGAACCCAAGAAGACTCATATGGCATGGATGAAGACATCTTAATTATTAGTACTTACTTTTGCACGGCTTTCAGAAATGTGCTGGGGCTAAATGGTTAAAACATGTTTTTTGGATCTAAGTTAAGCTTTCGTGTCACCCAAAAGTGACACAAAACTTAAAGTGGAGGAGAGGTTATATTATAACATTTCTGACAGGTCCATCTGAAGACGCAGTGGCACTATGGTACATTAATGAACTCCAACAGCGTGGTCCTCCAACAAGCCTGGGAAGTCTTTCGTTCTTAGGCTAAGCCTTTTGCCATCTAATAAGGGCTTTTTGAACTTTTCTCTTGATCTTCTTCACCTGGGGTTGAGAATGTGAAAATTGACCTTGTCTGTTTTCATCCATCTGACGTTGGCACTCAGAGAAAATGAAACCTCCCTGTATCCAACCCAGGGCAGGCTGATTTGCTTCTTCTGTCTTTTTGTTTCCTTCTGGAAGCAGAATTAAAAATGTAAAACCACACTTAGTATGGGTACAACCCTGTGAGAAAGAGAATGCAGGTTCTAAAACAAGGTGCTCTGGTACTCCCATCCCCTCGAGGTTCCTTTGGTGCCAGCCTCTACATTGATATTGTGGACTTAATCAGAAGCCAAGGCCCCACTGCACTGTGCAGGAAGGCACATCATGGAGAAGAGTTTTCAGGCATTATTCTGTAGGAATCCATCCAGGGCACAGCTGAGTCTCACCCTGGTTTCCTAATGGGGATAACTGGGATCAATGGGGTCTTGTGCATCAAAACAGTGAACCATGGTCTCGGAGCAATTGAACACCGTGGTGTTACAGCCCTGACAAAACTGGAAGCCACGTTGCTTCAGAGTTAAACACAAACTTGAATGCTGGCATGGCTCAGATGTTTCTATGAATAAACCGCATACTTCAGAAGTTCAGTTCTGTTTTTCCAATCAACAGAGAACTAAATGTTTTCAATGTTCTTGAAACGATTTAAAGTGTGCAAAAAGCACCCAAATCCTTACTCAGGGAAAGCTAGTAAAAAAAAAAAAAAAACAAAAAAAAAAAACACAAGGAAATTGAGGTGTTTGGAAATGCAAGCTGAAACACCACTGTGTAAAGTTGTGATGTCCCCAGCCTTACATGCATAAAGCTAGGGTCATTTTTGGGTGCATCAGTTCTTAGGCTTGTGTAAGAAGCTGTTGTCATGTAGATACATAAGGTTGTCATATAGATATATAGTAGGCTGGTCACTCATACATCTCTAAGCATGTTAGTACCACTCATAAATTAAATCTCACAGTCTCCTGCTTCACTGATCTCTGAGCACCTCCTTTTCATGGAGAAGCAAGATGCAAGGACCAGTTCAGTCACTTGGCTGAGCTTTCTTGGTCAACTGCAGCTCTGGAGCTCAGATTCCCGGTGCTTCCAAATTAATCCTAGTACTTTTGGACACTTCTCATTAGAAAAAAAATAAATAATAATAATAATAACAACAATAATAATAAAGAGCACAGTAAGGTGTGAAAACAAGCCTGCCTGCAACACCCTCCTGCAGGAGACATCTCCCAGCCCCAGAGCACCATATCTGAAGGACTTTGCCACCAAGGACATACCCAGCACAGAGCATGTGTAAACCAGATGTCAGCCCTTGTCCTCTCGCTGCCAGTTCAGATGTCAATCACGTGCAGGCTCCTGATTTATAGCAGGCCATGCCACCACTCCTGTGAGCTGGAAGTGAGAATGCCTGCGTGAAGCCCCGGATGCCACCTCCGAGCGCGGGACGCATGGTGTGAAAGTGCCTCTTAACAATGCCATCCCTGTAGGTGTAGGGCAAGTGGCTGACACCACCGCCCCCTAACAAGGGGACTTTGCACGAAGAGTAAATGTGAAGCACGTGAGCTAAGGCTGGCAAAACGCTGGTCAGGGATGAGCTGCAGACAAGGAATTTGGCTCAGAGTCCAAACTTTTCCGAAGGTCAGGAGCACTTGAGCCTGTTGGAGACAGAAGCTCTCAGAAAGTCACCATGGGACATGTCTACTGTGGGTTTCTACTGCTTACATGAGCACATTCCCCTCCCAACAACCTCATCTTCCTCTTCCCCTCCCATGAACCACCCCACTGTCCTCACACGTTCTCATTGCCTTGCTTTAGTTGCTATCAAGTCTAGGAAAGCTCTACAGGTGCTTCTCAGCTTTGCACTTGTAGCCCCACACCCCCGTCAATCTGCAGAATAAAACCACTGTCCTTTTCCTTGCTTTTTGGCATTTTGTTTTGTTGTGTTTCATTTGCTGCTTCATTCCTCCTTTCTGCTTCTCCCTTCCATCCTACTTCCAAGCCTCTGCTTAAGAGGATCCCCTCTAAACCCACATGAAAAGGAATTGATAGCTTCATCCCAGTTTGTTCTGAGGATAATCTAGGAGACTACATGTTCATACAGGCTATAGGAACTGTTTTTTGCTAATCAGTTTGCCCCAGAATTAGTAGGTAAAAGAGAAAGGGAGAGATAAACTCTGCCAAGTCTTAATTGTGGGTGAGTAACAGATGTGTGGTTTAGCCCTCTGCAGCTGAACCCTCTGGGTGATGCAGAGACATCCAGCTGAGCTCCATCAGAGGCAGCGTGACACCACCTTGCTTCTTACATCTGATGCTGATCTGGTCAGCACACAGCTATTTGATTTCCAGGGCAAGGTCAAAAGCTTTTGTCAGGATCCATGCACTTATAAGTCCTCTGAGACCCAGAAGTGCTAGGGAAGATAAGGAAAGATGGGTAAGAAGCTCTGCAAACAGTTTCCCAGACTTTCTGGGAGGGCTGATCATCACCCCAGACTGCAGGCATGTCTCCGTTGTGTTCCAGTGCATCCCATAACCTCCTCACTTTCTGTCAATATCCAACTATTCCCTCCCCACACTTTCTCAGATAATGGAAGCATGATTATACGCTGAATATGCCAAAATCTACTTTTGTTTCTTCTTTTCTTATCCACGTCTCCCTCTTAGCTGGTAAGTGCTGCACAACCTCTGTTTTGCCATGTATAGCAGTAGTGTGTGAATAATAAATAACAATGATATGCTTTCAGCTGGAAAATAAACCCCATATGTGTCCTCAAGTCTCTCTTTTCTCTTGAAGAATTCGTGCAGACATTGGTTCCAGAGACAGTTATAATCCTGTTTACTTGTCAATGCTTGGAGTGAGCATGTAATTACAGTTCCACTATAAGATACTTAACATGTAATTCAATGGCAAAGAGCTACCACGTTATTATAGTCTTCTAAGGTTGGATTTATGCCCTGAAACCTAAATTAGTCCCAACAATTTCTGTTCAGAGGAGGATAATTTAATGCAATCATTATCAAGTACACCAAAGAGCAAATTTCACCGAGGCAAGGGACAACACAAGCAAGTAATTATTATTTTTTATTTTTTTTATTTTTTAGCTCTCTTTGCCAACACGGCTTTCCTGGTCTTGTATTTTCTAGATAGGCAAAGTGCTTGTTTTGGAGTAAGGTGCAAAAGGGAAATAAAAACTACCAGTGACAATTAAAGAAACTGTAGGAATTAGTTCTGTCTTTGGAGATGGACACAAGACCTCGGGACACATCCCTTAAGGTGATGGGCAGTGGCATAATTCTGATATCAGTGCAGAGCTAAGAGTTAAAGAAAGTGATAGAGTGTGTGGCCTTACTCACTTCTTCACCCCCAGTGTTTCTAGGACCTGTTGTTAAGCTGCTGCCTGTCATACCACCATCATCCACAACATTAATTGGGCCCTGCCTTAAAATAATCCATCCTCAGCACCACAATGCTTAGCACTCCTACGGGCCTGTTCATACAAGACTTTCAGAGGGCTTAACAAGTCCCGACTGTTTAAGCAACACAATGTGCCCAAGAATTTGGTCGGGGGCACTCCAGGGGTAACCGTTTGCCACAGCAAAGCTACGTGCTTGCCCTATGACCACAGTGAAGGCTGCTGGAGGAGCAGAGAAAGAAATCTGGCTGCTGGCTGCGTTCATTTTCTTTCTGCCCAATAATTTATTTGGTTATGAGTCTCAGTTTCCTGTATGGAAAGGGAGAGTTGGACTTGCAGTATTCCCCAGGGCATGGTGACACCAACCATGGGACACAGCACACAGGCTGTGAATATCCCACAGCCACAGAGATGCCTGGGGCTGCCTTTGCATCTCTTGGCAAGGTTCCCCTGCCTGAGCCATCCCCTGACACCTCTTGCTCCTGACTTTAAGGTACCAACAAAGCACGGGCACTTTTCTTACAACATGTAGCATCCACAGCTGGTGCTGGGAGTCCAGAGGAATCCCTCGAATGTGGGCAGAAAGTCCCCAAAGCTCAGAGGAAGGAAAGCAGAGGAATGCAAGCATGGGGAGCACCTGGGGCTCCAGCGCTGCCAGCAAGCCCAGGTGTGCACGGCACAGGCGGGGGGACCGCGGCCGTGAGCCGGCGATGACAGCTCGGGGTCCCTAATACATTAGTTCCTGGGGTCTCGCTTGCATCTGTTGGAGGGTTGGAGATCTGCCGGGGGCCGGAGGGATAATTAGGCAGGTGGGCTGCTGGCTGTCCAGCACGCCTGCCAAATCCAGGCCTGCTGGAAGTGGGTGTAACCCTATGGAAATCATATATGCGATATCCTCACCCATGCACACACATAAACAGATGGGGGAGAGAGGAAAGGCGCACGCACGCCCGGGCCTGGATGCATTTTAGAAGCACAAGAAGACCCCAGGAAGACAGAAGCACGATCTGCAACACACCAGTGTTCACCCAAGGGTCACCATACACCCCTTGGGAAATCTCTGAGCATTTGGTATTCCTCTTAGCAACTCACAGCTCTTACATTTAGGGAGAGCTCTCTGATGGGATTGGAAAGAATAGCCAGGTTCATACAACGGTTACATTGTGCCATCTTCTGGTTAAAGGCTGTGGATTCCCTCTCTCCGAGTCCTGCTTCACTCCAGCACAGAAGGAAAGCCTTTCTTTATGCCTTCAAGAAACGAGATCCAGCGATGCCCCAGCAGCTTGTCTGTCCTGGTGGAACAGCATTACCTGCAGAGATGAGCTGCAATCACAAAGCGGTGTTTGCAGGGACCACAGGGACGTAGGAGCTGCCAAACAGAGCCCTGGTCTGCCAAATCTGCTGCTCTAGCCTCCAGGAGATGTGATGCCTCCAGGAGACGTGATACCTCTCCAGCCCAACATTGAGGTGCCCCAACATCCATCTGAGAGCCGTGCAGCTGTGAACCACCTGCAGGTGAGGAAAGTGAAGAAGAAAGTGGGCTCAGCGGGGTCCACAGAGACAAAACGCGTTCGTCTCTCTGCTGAGGAGGATCATAAATATCTATAAATGCATGAGGACACATGTTGAGAACAGCTGCCAATTACTCATCTGGATCATGAATATGGGGAACTGGATGTTCCCAACCCACCCTTACACTGAAAAAAAAAAATTTTTTTTTTTTAAAAAAATGAAGATACACAACTGCAAGGGGATGTGTGATCTTGGAAAGAGCTGATCATGGGGAAATCACTGGTCTGAATGTGCAGGCCTAGACTTGATGAAAAAAAATAATAATAACAAAGTTGACAAATCTTTTGTCTTCCAGCAGCACGCTTTACAATGTATGTTTATTTTAAACCTCACCTGCACCATTGTAGCTCCCTTGATTTTGACAGCAACATCCCTCCAGCTGCCAGGAGCACTTCTCAGGAGTAGGTGTTCAAAAGGAGCTAATTGTGCACAAATTAGGCAGACAAATTAGGGACAACGACTTCACTAAATACTGGCTAAACAAATACAGCTTCGGGGAAGATCCATGCTCCAGGTTGTCATCAGCAGTGCTAGTGTGAGCTAGATGAATTAGGTGCAGAGCACTCCCCACCAAAACGCTGGTGTGTAATGATGTTTCTGTAGGAAATGGTAGGAAAGGATGAAATCACCTCCTGTTCCAGGGAAGGGAAAATAGCCGCTGCACTTCAGACACTGCAGAGCATGGGACCTGACAGCCTGGTGGCTGCAAGCATTTGCTGTCCCAGTAATATTTAATTATTGGGCTTGTAATGAGCTCTGCAGAAGTGTTTAGTCTCAAAATGTCTTTTGCTTGTGCTCTGAAATGTCAAGGAAATCAGGATCGCTATGAAAGCAGCCTGATGCTGCACACAGGTATCAGCCTGCTGCTGTCTTGTTCTCAGCTTAACTCGAGCAGGGGAGAAGCAGAGACAGCGAGTTACACAAGACTTGGATAATATCAGCTTATTCTGACAACTTCATAACCTGCACAGACCTCCTAACGCACTGGGTATCTCCTTGCACACGTCTGTCATCAGGAGGAGATACGGGAACACGTCCAGGTTTTGAAGTCCCTCGGCAGGTCTGCACCCTTATGGCTCTGGCAGATGAGAAATTGGACGGTGTTTGATGTCCCTGTGAATTACATGGACAGTGGGAAACGCTTACTGAGAGATTACATCGGGGTCACCAACCACAGAAAAAAGGGTTTGGACCTGAACTTTGAGACTCAGTGTGTTGAACTGAGAACTGGAGCATATAAGATGTCTGAAGGCGAGGCGTAAGCTCTGCTAGCATCTGACCACTGCTGTTATCTCGTCATCTTCCGAGAATGAGCAAGTCCCGCCCTGCATTTACATCACACGTTAATAATAAAGCATGAAGTGCTTTTCCTGCCTGCAGTCCTCCTTCTCAGCTTCCAAACGCTGCACCATTTTTCTTTTGGTTGTTTCCGTGCCTACATTTTTTAGCTAGAATGGGCCAAGCCTGATTAAAATATTCCATGTGGGGTCTTTCAGGGCTGCGAGGTTGTTCCGAGAGCAGCAATCTAAACTTGCATTTATCTCATAATTTATTGTAACTCTCAAATCTTCTTTAAACTCTTTTTTTTTTTTCCCCATGTCTGCTTCCAGGATGCTGTTCACTCATCCCTGCTGTAGCTTTCCTCCCTTCCAGCCAGCAGCAGGCTCTTGACACGAGCATCACCGACAGCACCCACAGCCCACAAATCTCCCTGTTGTCCTCCGGGACCACGGGAAGGAGCAGGTCCCCAGATGACCGGGCCTGGCCTGGCCTTGAAGGCTTGAAATTAGAGTCACCTCCACTACTGACCTCCTTGGCACCCTGCTGTGCCCTGGGGAGCTCACCAATAGCAATACCCTGGCTTCTGGATAATATATAGTCTGTGCAAGTGTATTTTTAACCACTCAGTATTTTTATCCAGTTTCTAGCGCAGCACAATATCACATACCCTGATGGGTCCCAAACACATTGTGGCTGTGCTAGATTCACTGCACCCATAAAATCAGGACAGCAGTTATATACTTGCTTGGCATGATCTATTTTTAATATGTTGATGTTTTTTGCTTGCTATTGGACACTTTTCTGCCAAATGTTGTTACACAAACTCCTTCCATGCGCTGTGAGGTCTGGACACTTCTC